AAGTAAATAGAAATATTTGTCCTTGGAAGAAAGTACACGTATTTGCTGATGTAATACATTTTTTGTTAGATGTAAGAAAAAGAAAATGAATTAATATCAAATTAATTCTGGGAATTTTGATAATAAGGTCATCAGAGAAAGCGGGTATCTACAGAGACCCTAAGAAGGATAGTGGGCAGTTTAGAACAGGGTTGGAAAGTTTAAGAGATGAAGCTGAACAGATTGGCATATAAAAAAATAATAATAATAAAAAAGGTTGGGCAGTGCTGAGGGCCTCGCAGAAGACAGAGAAAATTAATTTGTCCTGATACAAAATGGAATGGCTATAGGGTTTTCTGTAGCAGTGTTCAGCAATCCAGATATAATGTGGTTAAATTCTTTTAATGTATATTCGTGGTGGGAATTGCAGAAGCTAGAAAAATTCAAGGGAGAGAAAAATTGCTTTTGGCAGAAATGACCAATGAGGACCTAAATGAGGTGTGGGATTTTTATTCGGACCTTGAATGGCGGGCAGGAGTCTGCTGGAATGCTAAGGAAGGAATACTAAGTAAAAGAACAGCGAAGAGGACTGGATCAGACGTGGAATGGATAAGGTATTAGTAGACCCAATACACATGTTGCCTGAGGGGAGGGCTAATGTAAGGTGATAATGGAGGCGGAATGTTGAAAGGGGGCATGTGATAAAAATTGGATAAAGTACAACTTCTTTAGCCTTGATTTCAAGCTGTATCTTCAGGCAATGAGAATTTGTTGGAGGCTATTGTGCAGGAGGGTGATTAAGAAGATTAATGTGGTGGCAATTTGCTATGAGTATGAGAGAGAGAGTGACTGCAGGCAGAACCAGTTTAGGAGGCTGACGAAGGAATCCAGCACTCAAGGAACAGCAAGGGGGAGAAAAGGGACTGAGAGGCAAGAGACAGAAAGTCCATTTCTTTGTGCTTCTGGCACTTTCCACATTATAGAACTTACATTCTCAATAATGAGTATTTGAGTAAGTGTATCTCACACCAATGATTTCCTCCTATCGCCCTCCCCTTCTCTCCTTTCTCCCCCCCTTCCTTCTTTCCTTCCTTCCTTCTTCCTCCTCTGCTTCCTTCTTTCTTTCCTTTCTTTGTTTCTTCTTTTTAAAGATTTATTAATTTATTTTTATTTAATTTTATGAGAGAGAGAAAGTGAGAAAGCAAGCCTCCAGGTCCAGGACTTGAACTGTAGTCAGCCATGTGTGTATATTCGTGGTGGGAATTGCAGAAGCTAGAAAAATTCAAGGGAGAGAAAAATTGCTTTTGGCAGAAATGACCAATGAGGACCTAAATGAGGTGTGGGATTTTTATTCGGACCTTGAATGGCGGGCAGGAGTCTGCTGGAATGCTAAGGAAGGAATACTAAGTAAAAGAACAGCGAAGAGGACTGGATCAGACGTGGAATGGATAAGGTATTAGTAGACCCAATACACATGTTGCCTGAGGGGAGGGCTAATGTAAGGTGATAATGGAGGCGGAATGTTGAAAGGGGGCATGTGATAAAAATTGGATAAAGTACAACTTCTTTAGCCTTGATTTCAAGCTGTATCTTCAGGCAATGAGAATTTGTTGGAGGCTATTGTGCAGGAGGGTGATTAAGAAGATTAATGTGGTGGCAATTTGCTATGAGTATGAGAGAGAGAGTGACTGCAGGCAGAACCAGTTTAGGAGGCTGACGAAGGAATCCAGCACTCAAGGAACAGCAAGGGGGAGAAAAGGGACTGAGAGGCAAGAGACAGAAAGTCCATTTCTTTGTGCTTCTGGCACTTTCCACATTATAGAACTTACATTCTCAATAATGAGTATTTGAGTAAGTGTATCTCACACCAATGATTTCCTCCTATCGCCCTCCCCTTCTCTCCTTTCTCCCCCCCTTCCTTCTTTCCTTCCTTCCTTCTTCCTCCTCTGCTTCCTTCTTTCTTTCCTTTCTTTGTTTCTTCTTTTTAAAGATTTATTAATTTATTTTTATTTAATTTTATGAGAGAGAGAAAGTGAGAAAGCAAGCCTCCAGGTCCAGGACTTGAACTGTAGTCAGCCATGTGGGAATCCAGTGCATTAACCACTATGCCACCTATCACCCCATCTTTCTTTCATCTTTGTATTAATTAATTAATTCAACAAATCCTTACTGAGAATCTACTACTTATGAAATGAACATTGTATAAGGAACAGATGATTCAGAGAAAGAAAGTCTTGTTCTCCCAGAACAAGCAAACAAATAAGACAGCCAAGAAAAGCTCAATGAGCCTCCATGTAGAAGTGTGTGCCAGGTTTTAAGGTGCACAGAGCAGAGCCCTCTACTCTGTAACAACAGAGATTATGCTAATCCAACCAAGAAAAGCGACAAGGGAAGTCATCAGGAAAGCAAGTGGAGGAGGGTGCGGAGGTACAGGTGGGAAAATGGCCTCATGAACTGCTGGATGTTTGTCTCAGGGCTCATGTGCAGGAGTGAGGATCACGAGGCTGAAAAAGTTAGCAGAGGTTTGTATATTATGCAAAAGCAGTGAGGTTTTACTACACATGTGCTGGAGGTTCCTTAGGATTTGACATAAAAGAATGATATTAAAAACTGAAGATTTACAATCTTGGACTCTGGATTCAGATTGAGTCCAGGGTGTTACTAATAGTTCAGCCACTTGGTGGCTGTGTGACTTTGGGCAAATTTCCTAACCTAAGGCTCAGTTTTACAGGTATTTTCTCTTGTTTTTATTTTTTTATTTTGTGAGAATTATAGGATACATCATTGGTAACCTTCCTAGCACAGCCTGGCCCATAGAGAGTCCTCCAAAATAGATAGCTACTCTTACTATATAGAATTCACATCACCTCAGTCATTGCCATCATTATCAAAAGTACTCTATAAAATATTATTGAATACCACCTATCTTGTTTTTAAAAAAAGAAGTCAGGGATGGAAATGAGCAAGGATAGAGACTAGTTAGGAAGGGAGACTAGTTAGGAAGGGAGACTAGTTAGGCAGCCTCTAGAATATCTAGGGAAGAATATTCTCTGTGTAGTGCTCAGTTGTCATTTAGAAGAAATATTTTTAAAAGTTTTTGGAATTAATGAAAAGGAAGACTGAGCAGGATTTAGTGATTGATTAGCTCAAAGAAACCAGGGGGGAATGAGTAAAAGATTGCGTGACTGGAGAATTGGGGAACTATCCACCCAAGGACACCCTTTCTTTTCCCACCCCTTGGCTCTGCTTTCCCAGGCCATTGCTCCCCTGACATCTTTGGATGGTTGGCCGCTTTCTCAGTTTCATTCACTTGCTCGGTGACTGTGCTGTGCACATCCGTCTGTTGCTTTGTCTTTTTCCAGAATGCCTTGTCATAATCATAGTGAAGGCATACTTGAATTTAGAACCTTCACATTTTTGAAGTCTCAAATCTCACTCACAACCTGGGTTTGATCTCATCTCTTTGGCTGCTTCTAAATCTTTCATTCTTAGGTCACGTAGAGGTCTCACGAAAGATTTACAGCATCTGTGCCTGTTTAGGGGCATTCCTAGAATCCTACAGTTTTATGATTCATGTGTTTGGAACAACATGTTCTTTAAGGTTTTGGTATTATATCATTATATTTCCTCCTATCTAAAATAGGTACTTACTAATCCTATTTCAGATATTATATCACTACAAAACAAAACGATCATCAACAACAGGTAAAATGGGGCTCAGCTTTTGGCTCTGCTAGTCCTGTAGAATCATTACTTCTATTATGACTCCAGAAACGATTGGTGAAGCCAGAGAATGCAACACAAGATCTCATTCTAACTAAATGACCTGTGCATTACTGGTGTCTGACTTTAGCACAAGGGAATAGCATGTGGTGCTGAGACTGGAGTCTGCTTCGTTTTCTTTCATTTGATTGTTCTGATTGTTTAAAATGCTTTGAAATTTGAGAAAGAACAGTCCTGAGATTCTACTAGGGCTACACTAGCCAGGTTCAAGGCCATGGCAACACTTAGAAGAGCTGTTTCCAAGAGGCGTTTTAATAATTGTAGTATACAGAAACAAGCGACATATGAACAATTTTGTAATGCTGTCTACTAGAATGCTCCCCCTACTGATGGTTGATCTAGTCTCTCTCATGATCCAGGGAATGCAACGTGAGACAGCTGCCTGGAATTAGGAGACGTGAAATAAACCCCACACCCATCTTTGAAGGGCTGCCCTGATCTCAGCCCCGTTAGGTCCTGAGCTCTTGACAAGGAAGGTAGTAAGAACAAATAGAGGCTTGAAGGTTAAAATTTGATACGAGGAGCCTCCACCGCAGAGCACAAAGACTCCTTCTTCTACCCTTTTCTCTACTGGTCACCTTGAGTGTGTGTGTATGTGTATGTGTGTGTGTGTGTGTGTGTGTGTGTGTGTGTGTGTGTGCTTCAGAAATAGTACTTGAAGGATGGAAAATTAAATGTGTCTCTGTGGGAAAAAGCAGTGTTTCTGGTTCTCAGCATTTGAGTCAGCTGCTCTCTTATTTTTCCAGACTCTGGATATACTTTGAAACAAGCTTTTCAAATCTATTCCTGGTTGTGAAAAAAAATTAGGGACTCAATAGTACTCTCCCAGTTTCCCTGTGTCGGGCAACAAATACACGCTTTACTTTGCCTGTTTTATTTCCTCTAGTGGTGGCAAAACATTCCTGTTCATATTTGCCGGGAGGGAGAGGGGGAACCTCTGCTCTAAGTTTCTGTGTTGGGAACAGAGCAAGACAAAGAGCTACCTGGACTAGCCTGTTTCTCCAGGGTGAAAAAAAGGAAAATGGGTTTTGCTGCTGCTTTCATAGTTTGGCTCCCTGCTAAGGGGGCAGGCCTGTCTAGGGTGCTGGAGAAGGTAGGAGTAGGGAGGATAGGAATCTCGTTTAAATCACAGACAAAAAGAAACCAGGAAGTACAGAGACATTATTAGAGCCTGCACATAGCCCAGGATGTTAAAGGCAATACCCTCGGCTGGTTGGTTACTCATTAGCAAAAAGGCAAGCGCAGCCGGGATCAGGACTGGTCAAACGACAGGAACAGACTTGAAGCAGGGAGAGAGGTCCTGGCAGAGGCAAGGTGCGGCCGTTTTACCTGGAGTTAGTATCTTTCCTTTGTTAACTTTTTCTCGGGAGAGAAGGCAAGATGGCTCTTTCGTGTTCTCAGATGTTTCCCAAAATAAAGTCCTCTTAATTTTATTTTATTGTCGTTGTGGGATTCCTAAGCAGACAAGAAGAAAAGGCCTCTTCCCACCGGAGCAGCTGCCCAGCTCCCACTGGATTTTGCTTGGGGCAACAGCTAAAGCCAGAGAGAGCAAGCCGGTGAGTCTCTCCAGGTAGGCTTGCTTCAGACGCGTCGCTGGGCTGCTCTGAAACAGGACTTTGTAGTCTCGGAAGTATGAGGAGTTGGTGCTGATTTCACTTTGGCTTGTGGAGGAACAGAAAGTGGATCTGCAGAAATTAAGGGGAGAGAAGCCTCTCTCCCATTCCCACTAGCACCATGGGCAATGTCTGTTTGAGGCTCTGGGCGTATGTGGAATCCCATCTCCCCTGCTTGTCCCAGGAGGCAGACAAGCCAGTGGTGATTGAGAATCCAGGGGCCCGATGTGCCCCTGAAGCTCCCCAGTCATCAAGGCAGGAGCCTGAGAAAAGCCATGGCCACTACTTTGTGGCTTTGTTTGACTATCAGGCTCGGACTGCAGAGGATCTGAGCTTCCGTGCTGGCGACAAACTCCAAGTACTGGATACTTCTCATGAAGGCTGGTGGTTGGCCAGACACTTGGAGAAACGGGGAGCCGGCCCTGGCCAGCAACTTCAGGGCTACATTCCTTCTAACTATGTGGCTGAGGACAGGAGCCTGCAAGCAGAGCCGTGAGTAGTATAAATCCTCACTTCATTTCTCAACTCTCTGAGGGCCAGGAAATGAGTTTTCTTTCCTACTATCTACATTACCCACCTTCCAAAGAGCTGCCCAGAACCTATGAAAAAGTCCTGGCAGGGACCCACTAATGATGCAATCCTCCCCAACTAATTGAGAATAAACTGGAAAGCAATTGTAATGATTTCCATTACTGGATGTATACACACAGACATGAGTGCTTTTTTTTTTTTGAGAGTTTTTTTGCTATAGGGCACGTGTGCTCACCAGAAAGACAAAGACAGAGAGAGAGCAAGCAAGAAAACATCCCCCAGGGGGATGGCCATTCCACAATCCCTTCTCCTCTGTTCTCCTCTCGGGATCTTGGGCACACACGCACATGTGCCCAGTGTGAGTTTAAGCCACTGGGTCTGGGTCTTGAACTGCCTTTGACTACATGGGAGTCCAGCAACATAGCCATAATGCCAACTGCTGGTCTCATGAGTGCATTTTTATCAGCATAAACAAATGGTGCATTTAATATTCTACCTTCTCCTGGGCTGTAAAATAACTCATGCCTCCCTTTAACAACAGAACTGAATTTCATTGGCAGGTAAAGCTAGGACTTGCCTAAACCACACCTTCAAATGTCATGTTCAGGGGTTTTTTCTTTTCATTTTTTTCCTTCTTTTCATTTTTTCTTTTTAACTTTTGAAGCCTTTCAGGTTAATATTTCAATTATAGTCCTAACTCCAGTCCTAATCCCTTGCACTCTGATAGACCCGCACATGGCTAAACAACATAGAAGTTAACATTTAGAAAATACTAATTTTCCCAGTGACATCATGACAGACATTTTCCTTGAATTTCCAGATTCCGAGGTATGCTATCCAAGTATGGTATCTTTAGGTTTTTATTATAATTAGAAACTAGTCAGCCACAGACACTGAGAAAGATTTTGTTTTGTTTTGTTTTTATTTTTACTTTTTTTTTTTTTAAAGGTTTTGCCATAGGGCATGTGAGCTAACAGGAGAGAGTCAGAGAGACAATGAGAGGGAAAGTGAGAAAACACCCCACGGGGGATTGTCACACCACAATCCCTTCTCCTCCATTCTTCTCATGTGATTTTGGGCATGCAAATACATGTACCCAGCGTGATTTTCAAGCTGCCAGATCTGGAACTTAAACTGCTGTCAGCCATGTGGGAGTCCAGTGCCTTAACCACTGTGTTACCTGCTGGTCCCAATGTTTAGTAAGTTGTAATAAGAAAAATAATGACATCTCTCAGAAGAGAAGACTTTATCCTGGTATTGTCAACAAATCCTATAAATAATAGTAGGGAAAAAACACATTTTATGTGCTTATTCATTGCATCCATCCATCCATCCATCCATCCATCCATCTATCCATCCATCCACTCATCTAGGTGCTAGGTACAGTAGTGAGTATAGTGAGTTGGGAAGGGGACAAGATTAAGCTGTAGTGGTTGAATATAAAGTGGAAAAAGTATAGTCTTGATAGTGGTACTTGGGATCTGGTGGGTTGGGAAGAAGGGGAAAGACTGTTATTGGCCTCAACCTTGTTGTTGCTTGGTTCTAGTGAAACCCAAGACTGGGAATGTCTCTCAGAAAATGGACTCAATTTATAGAATAGTTCCTTAATAGAACCATTGGGGATTTATTAATATTCTCATGTAAATGTTTCTTCTTTATATATGAGTTGCAGCATCCCTAATTGGCCCATATTTTTTAAAAATGATAAGGAGCAACTATGGTAAATAATTGCTGCTTTTCAAACTTGTACATCTAAATACAATAGGAGGTTCAGTGACTTGAGGTTCTTTATAGCACCAAGGGCCTGTACTTGTAAGGAGTCTCTTAAGTTAGACCTGCACAGAAATAAATTAAAATTTAGACTTTTAATGAATGGAGTCTATTAGTTCTCTAATGAGAAAATCACCTGAATAGACATTTATTCTCTATGGTAATCTATAGAAAATATCTTTATTTATTAAGTACTTGAGTATATTTATTTTCACTACATAATTTCTTGTGCATGATTTATATTCAGTGAAACATATATTATTAACATTATAGTGTTTGTTCTAATATTTAGAGCCTTGAATTCATAATTTACCAGTTTTAGGTATATTTAATTCATTTAACTGCTTAGGACCTCCACTTCCTCATCTGGAATGTGTCTGAGGTTGCCTACACCTCTGGGTTTCCTGATTACCTGGAAATGTGAGTTCTTGTGTTTCACTTTTGGTTTAGCTACATTCAAAATGGAAAGAATTGTATATGCTAAAGAAAGTAAGAGGACTGGACCAAGGCAAATAATCCAAGGGGGATCACATTATGTCTACAAGGCTCTAGCATGGTGTCCTTAACAATTTAGATTCTCCATGCCTACAAACTCAAGATAAGGCAACTATTGTGTCTACTTTTTGATTTTCATGGGCCATCTGTAGACAAGAACACCTTTTTTCCCTCTGCACATAGCTCCTGACCTTTCCTCTTAGAAATCATTCTTAGCAATATTCCCACATGTTCACTGCCATCTAGGTCTTTGTAGTGAGATTTCCTTGAGATCTTCATATTCACTGAAAGAACAAAGTCATGCCCTGAAGATGCTACTGCTCTGCCTCCTGGTCAGGACAGGATGCTTGCTTCCTTCTAAGTGCAAATCTTGGCCTTTACCTGTGAACCCAGTTACTTCTAAAGGCTCTGGACACCATCTGCTAAATTGCTTCAGTACTTTTAATGCAAGTAGTCATAGCCTTTCGAATTCTACTCCATTTCAAATAGAGTCTTTTTTTTTTTTTTTCAAACTTATGCTTCGTTCTTATGAGTACTGTGAAAGTTAGTGGAGTTTGTTTTGTAATGAGATCAGTAAATAGAATTAATTAAAGAATATTGTTTCTATTTACATGTTGGAGATGGGAACGCAAGGGGGGAAGCAATGAAGGCTGAGTCATCTAATTCCTAATTAGACCAATTTAATGCAATGTGTATTTGTAGTTATCCGTTCATATCTTTATTCTTGACTTGTATTAATAAGAAAACAGTTCAAATGATTCTGGAGTTATTAGTACTAGTTTCAGGTATATTTGTTTGCTTTTTAATAATTGGAGGTAGAGATGTTGAAAAATAATTAGACTATTGTTAAAAAATCCAATTTACTAATTATTGTTACACTTATAAATGCTTTACCTTTTCTAAATATAATGTGATATAATAAGCTATTTTCAAAGATTTTTTTTTTCTGTGAAGAATCATTGTACTTCTTATCTTTAATTTGAATTTATTCCTAGATCCTTTTATTGATGAGTGTCATTTATTTATTTAAAAATCTTCCACATAGAGCCTCTTAAAGACTTTTGGGGGAAATGGTCAGAACTTCCTTTAAATATTTTAATCAAAGTGTACTTTTTTAAAGATATAGCTAAAGTTCACTCAGAAAAATAATGGAAAGAAATTATATAAAAGTCTTGGAACCAAGAGCAATAGATTTAAATTCCATTGTTTTCATTGTCAAAGTATAAGTATTCCAACGTATGGTGCAAAATAAAATGATGAGCAATTTTGTAATTTACATGTAGCATCATTTATCTACAAAGAATTTTGTTTGCCTAATTGTTTATATGTGCCTTAGGGATTGTCCATGTGCTTTTTAAAATTTTCATTTTATTTCTTTCTAACATGAGAGGGCAGGACAGAGAAAGAGACAATGAGACAATGAGACAAACAGAGTCCTCACACCACACCACAGTCCAACCCATGGAGTCCCAGGACCGGCACCCAAGACCTTTCCCACATGAGTCCATGAATACATTTGTGTTACTGCTGCACCACTGCCAGGCCCTGTCCATGTATTTTTATGTTAAATTAGAGTAGAATCAGAGGTCAGTTAAGTCTACTGGAGGATTGGTTGGTAGGAGGGGAGTAGGGTGGACATAACCACATAAACTAGCAGCTGGTGATTTTTACTTTACCAGCTTGACCACACAGGCCAAGGTTATATTGGGTTGTTGGAAAAGTCATGATGTATTTTGTTCTGTTTTTCCATACAAAATTGTGTCATGATTTTCCTGACAACCCAATAGTTAGGTTAACTGATTTGATACCCCTCTGAATGTAAATGATTCTTAAGTTATGATAACAACAATGAAATACACTGCTGAAATTCTGAGTCCATAAACTTCTCAAAGGCAAAACTTAAGAGTCAGATCACTAGAATGACCTTTGGATATTATTTTTCATTAAGCTCCACATCTTTCTCAGTCATATTCATGTATTCTGCTCTTACTTGATAGTAAGTGTTTTTGTTTTGAGCCCATCTTGTGTGCCTGCAATGGTGCCAGGTGACTGCTTCACCAGAGAAATTACTATTTGCTTTGTTGCACATTTAGTTTGGATTTATGTTAAGAAGTGTTTTCCCACGTATGTATGAATCAATGAAGGCTATAAAAGTTCTCCTGAACTTGAGAATGGTATACCTTTGTGTATAGGATGGCTGGAGGACCCACTTTACAATGATCTACAATGGGATCTTTGTATCACTTGTTAGTACAGTAGCTGAGGAAGAAGCAAAGTGTTTTGTGGAAATACTTCTTCTTCTCCCCTCATTACCACGTAAATGTATTAATAGATTACTTCCAATTCTTTACCAATTTACTATTTTAGAGGCTGCCTTGAAAAAGAAACCAAAAATAAATCTTTGTAATCTGTAATTTTATTGGCAGTTTATGCCTATGAGATAAAATACTAGAATGTTATGAAACATAAAGGTAGAAAAAGTTCTCTCTTCCATTTAGGAGCTGTTTTTCTACTCATGCTCCACTTTAATATATTAGACTAGAATTCTTTTGAGATTTAATTTAATTTAAGGTCATTGGCTTCAAGAAAGTACCAGGGAAAAATAAAGTGATATATTCTCAGAAAGAGTCTTTCATCACCATTTTAAAACAGAATGAAGCTTCACTATTTGGTGATTTTAGTACTGGTAAATTTAA